TTTTACTATAACTACTTATTTTCCGCTTATACATTTTTCCTATTGTATTAAGTGTCTTGGGGTGGAGAATTCCAAAAATATCCTCAACTTACACAGAAGTTGCATGTAGAAAGGACTGAAAGAGCTGTACATTATCTGGACTTTGAGCTGGAGATAGATGAAGAAACTGCTGGTTACCTTTTGAGATGGAATTGAGTGGAAATAAATTACCTTTTGAGATGGAAATAAGTGGAAGAAGGATATGCAGAGACATGAGTAGTTAAATAGGCGTGTCATGGGGACTATCTTGACCACCAAATTCCTATTCCATTTTCCTCCTTAAGACAGAATTCTTATGTTACTCTGGGCTGATTTCATTCACAGCTAAAGGCACACATTTTTCAGTCTCTTTTGAAAATTAAAGTGGACCTTCAATGGAAGTTCAATAGCATGTTAATAGAAGTTGCTGGGGAGGGCTTTTGGTAATTCTTTCTAAGTCCTAAGGGCTGCCATTCTCCTTTTTGCCCTTTCCTATCCAACTTGGAACACAAGCACTGTGGGTTGAGTACTACAGCTCTCTTGTGACTTTGAAAATGGAAACAATACACGAAAGATAGGTTGGCAAAAAGTGACAAAATTCTGGATCTTGACAAAGACAGTCTTAATGTTTCCCTCAAATTGACTAAATGCTAGACAGGTTTCTTCCTGGCTGCAAGCCTTGTTATGAAGATAGAAGAAAGTCTACTTTTCCTCTGAGAAAAGCTAATTAACAAACATATATGGCCTATGACAACTCCCACCCTACCTCTTCAAAAACTCCCTGTGCTTTGTTTCAGTGGAGTAAGAATCCAGACTTGGTCTGTGCTTTCTCTCCAGATGCTGGCAGTAATATCAGAATAAAATCACTTTTCATCTGTTCATCTTGTCTTGTCTGGTTTTTCTTTAACAATTCCTAATGAGTTTGTGGAGCCACAGCACATCTCTGAACTGCTTATCACCAGCCTTCTGTGCCATGATTATATACATTTTTATGTCACTGGAAAAATAAAATGCGAAATTACTTTTAAAATTTAAAATACAATGGCATAATTTAATAAGTAATGGCAAAAACCGCAATTACTTTTGCACCAACCTAATTCCAGGAACAATTCTTAACTCACTGGAAGCTTGGAGATGCAAGAGTATATAAAGAACTCGGTAAACATAAGAAAATGTCTGTTGGTGTCTGTAGAATATATCCTGAGAGGGGTTGAGTAGAGTTAAAATATTATAATCTTTTATTTTCTGAGAGAAAGACATAAAGTATTCATTTAACTGAAACTTTATAAATTTAAGTATGGCAAAGTAGCCACTAAAAGACTAAATATTGATATACGTAGCTTTCAAACTTGAAGTAAAACTTACAGTAAGAAAATAGGGACTTTATTAATTCAACAAGTTTATTTATATAGAAATAAAAATGAAATATATAAAAAGTGAGAGAGACACTAATAGAAGAGACAAAAGCTCAAAAAAGAAAACAAACATATCAGCAATAATAACACATAGAAATGTAAAGGCTGTAAGATTAGGTTTTTAAATATTCATTCTACACTGTCTGTAAAGGAAACACAGATTAGAAGTAAAATAATGAAAAAGTTATGAATCTCATATAAACCAAACAGATGTCAGAGTAGCTATTTTAATATCAGAAATTTAGATTTTAGAATAAAATGATGGATAGAAGAAAGAGGGTTACTGTAAAATGAAAAATATTTAATTCACCAAGAAATTAACAGTTTCATATTAGGGAATTTAAAATATAGCCTCAAAACATACAAATGTAAAAATTTACAAAACTACCAATCAGCCACACTCCTTTCTCAATAACTGAGAGATTAGCCAGAAGAACAAGAACACACACACACACACACACACACACACACACACACACGGATCTGCACAGCGCAATTATGACTAATTTAACAAATATATAGAAATCTTTACCAAACAATTAGAGAATATGCATTTTTCCCAAACACATATGAAACACTTATAAATAATGTTCACACTAGGTGGCAAACAATTCTTAAGTATCAAATACTTAGTTTCACGCACACACATACCACAATGTTATGCACAGCATAATTAAAGGACAAGAGCAGCAAAAACTGTGAAGGGACATTATTTTTGGGAGAAATGTTTAAAGACATCTTCTCAATTTATCAAAGAAGATAATCTGAAAGGAAAAAAACTACTTTGGACTATATGTAATAAAAATAATATTTATTAAAAAGTCATGTTTTATAACTTGAATAGTACCTAGAAAATACACACAGAGTATTTCTTAGGTAAGAATACTTATTAAATTTGATGCTTTTCACACCACTATTGAAAATTCTTAGGTAAGAATTTTTAATTTTTAGGTAAGAATTTTTTTTAATTTTTAATTTTTAAATTAAATTTATTTTAATTTTTAATATTTTTAATTTTTTTTAATTCTTAGGTAAGAATTTTTTTCTTAGGTAAGAATTTTTAATAGTGGTGTGAAAAGCATCAAATTTAATAATCTTCTGAGCTTCACAATAGGGGAATCCAAGATTTTATACATCCCTGATACCTTGATCTCAAGTATGTTTTGATTTTGAGAATTCTACCAAGTCCCATTTTCATTATACAGATGAAAGATATTTTCTGATGGAAAAAAATGTAACAAAGAATTTTAGGTTCAGAGTGGTAGATCATGCCTGTAATCCCAGCACTTTGAGAGGCCAAGGTAGGAGAATCATTTGAGTTCAGGAGTTCAAGATCAGCCTGGGCAACATGGTGAACCCCATCTCTCCAAAAAATGAAAAAACTAGCCAGGGGTTGTGGCTTGTGCCTATAGTCCGAGCTACCCAGGAAGCTGTGGCAGGAGGATCCATTGAGCCCAGGAGTTCCAGACCATCTTGGTGAACATGGCAAAACTCCATCTCTATAAAAAACAAAAATTAGCTGGATGTGGTGGGATGCACCTGTAGTCCCATCGACTCAGGAGGCTGAGTGGTAGGATTGCTTTGAGCCTGGGAGGTCAAGGCTGCAGTGAGCAGAAATTGCGTCATTGCACACCAGTCTGAGCAACAGAGTGGGACCGTGTCTAAAAAAAAAAAAAAACACCCACCCACAAAGTAAAATAATTCTAACCCTGAGTCACAGACCTTTCTAAAATGTTTGTATACAAGAATATTGGCTAAGCATTAATCCAGAGCTGGTATATGTCAAGTCTGAGGAATGTTACAGAAAAAAGCAGTGATAAACTCTTTACTGATCTGGTGGTAATTTGAATTCTAGTCTCTTTCCCTCTGTCTGATCCTATTCACTTTTTAGAATCCTCAAATAGCTGTTGCCTGAATTCTCTCCAGATTTAATACAGTTGCGTTTCATGTAAGAGATAGGATGGGAATGTGTTTACTCTAATTTACCTGGAAAAGCCTATTTTGCTCTTCTATACTATTTATAAAATTTTGGGATAAACATTAAAAGCCAAATACATGATATTCTATGTTTGAGTCAGAATATCTATTTTTATTATGTTGGATAGAAGAATCACATTGCATCATTATGCCAGTCCTGAAATTCTTGTATAATAGCTCCTATATTTCCAGATAAAACTTTTTACTTTTGCTTTACGTATTTAAAGCAAATATGAAAATGAAACTGATTTTTATGAATAATCATTTGTCCTAGGAGCATGATGTGATCTGCAATTAACACCATTCTCACTGACCAAGTGGTGCTGTGGCTTTACATTCAGTTACATTCATCTACTTATATCTGCCACCGCCCTGATTATTATAGCAGTGTAATATGTTGTCATGTCTGACAGGGTAAGTACCATTTATTCTTCTTCTTCAGGGCTATTGTAATTTTTCCCGACCCCTTGAATTTTATAAATTACATGAACAAACCATGTAAATAAATCTTAAGTTTCATGAAACAAGTTTCATAAAAAAAGCCTTAAAAAACTAAAATTGCTCTGAAACTGTAGAACGTAGAGATATTTGACATTTATAACGTAGCATGTCTTTGTGTAGCTGAACACCTAGTTAGTTTTCTTCAGCTTATTAATAAAGCTTTATTTCTTTTCCCATAAAACACTTGTCCAGCTTTTTTTTTTAGCAAACAAACTTATTTGCTTGATAGCTTTATGTTACACATTTATTAACGTTGTGGTTATCAAGCTAATGAACTTATATTTGCAAACAATATTGTGGTGTTTTTCAGAAAAGCTCTAAACTATTTATTCTACAAATTATAATCTTCATGACTATGACTATAATCACCTTACTTTTTAAAATGTATTTAGAAAGTGATGTTTGTGAAACACAGATTTTATGCCATGATAGCTGAACTCACAATCATCAAGTTCAATATCAAATTTAACTTTTCACTTCCTTGTTTTGATTATCTATTGTAACTAAAGATTTGCAAATCAATATTAAAAGAATCCAGCTTTGTGTTATTTATAAATGCTGCTCCAGGTGTCCTATCTCCTGTTTATCTGCTGAGATGCAACTGCCAGATGCCCAGTGGAACTTGCATGCTTTGTACCTAGAGGACGGACATTTCCTTTATGACTGCTGCTGCTAATACAGATGTGACTGCCCTGGCCTCCATGACACAAGGGGGAAATAAATGAAGTCAACTCATGAAGCTAAAATGTGGATAGACAAAGCGAAATAGACTCATCCAAGATATAGTCCAACCTGAATTAGCACCAACTGAAAAAAGATATAAAAAGCAGAATTGAAAAAATACAGGGCCTCCTTGCAAGGATCCCCCAAATTCTAACTGGTGTATTGATTGGTCTAACATCCAATATTATAAACAAACAAAAGACAGAATCTTTTCTTGATTTTAGAAACCATCTAGTCTTTGCTGAACTTGTAAGAACTATTTAGATTCTGGTCAGCAGCTGGAGTAAAGTGGACCCGCCCCCCCACTTTTAGGCTCTGTCCTCGGCGCATTCCCGCCCTTCCCTGGTCCCCGCCCGGGGCTCGGGGATGCCTGCCAGCATGTTCAGCATCGACAACATCCTGGCCGCCCAGCCGCGCTGCAAGGACTCGGTGCTGCCGGTGGCTCCCAGCGCGACGGCTCTGGTCGTCTTCCCGGCCCTGCACGGGGATTCGCTCTACGGCGCCAGCGGCAGCGCCTCCTCGGACTATGGCACCTTCTACGGGCAGCTGCACGTGCAGGCAGCTCCCATGGGTCCGGCCTGCTGTGGGGCCGTGTCGCCCCTGGGTGCCCAGCAGTGCTCCTGCGTCCCGACGCCCCCAGGCTATGAGAGCCCTGGCTCGGTGCTGGTGTCCCCGGTACCGCATCAGATGCTGACCTACATGAACATGGGCATGCTGTCGCGCACCGAGTTGCAGCTTCTCAACCAGCTGCACTGCCGGCAGAAGCGGTGGCACCGCACCATCTTCACTGACGAGCAGCTCGAAGCGCTTGAGAACCTCTTCCAGGAGACCAAGTACCCGGACGTGGGCACGCGCGAGCAGCTGGCCGGGAAAGTACACCTCCAGGAGGAGAAAGTGGAGGTCTGGTTTAAGAACCCCCGCGCCAAATGGAGGCGGCAGAAGCGGTCTTCATCGGAGGAGTCCGAGAACGTGGAGAAGTGGAACAAGACGTCGTCCTCGAAGGCATCGCCGGAGAAAAGGAAATAGGAAGGTAAAAGCGATTTGGACTTGGACAGCTGACGGCCGCGGGACACTTGCCCATGTTACTTGCCTAACTAGAAGGACTTGCACAGACAGACTATGCTACTTTATTGCACACGGGCTGCCTTGCGGGAGGGGGTCGAGAAAGAGGAACGAGGAGCTGTAAATAGTGTACAGAGCCTGGAGGGTCTGCGCCTGGGGTCAGGGCGCACCGGGACCCACAGCCCAGCAGCCCCAGGCTGCCTGCGCCTCATCCCCACTGTAGTATTTATAGTTAAATTAAGGGTCACAGTACAATAAAGTGATGGCAATGTATTAAAAAAATTAAAAAAAAAAAAAAGGCACTTTGGGAGGCCGAGGCGGGTGGATCACGAGGTCAACAGATCGAGACCATCCTGGTCAACATGGTGAAACCCCATCTCTACTAAAAATTACAAAAAATTAGCTGGGCACGGTGGTGCGTGCCTGTAATCCCAGCTACTCAGGAGGCTGAGGCAGGAGAATTGCCTGAACCCAGGGGGCGGAGGTTGCGGTGAGCCGAGATTGCGCCATTGCACTCCAGCCTGGGTAACAAGAGCGAAACTCCGTCTCAAAAAAAAAAAAAAAAAAAGGATCATAGCTTTAGAACATGGCTGATCACTAACAGCTCGGGATTGTAGCTGCCAGTGAGAGCTCAGAGAACGAGAGGATGCCACACTTTCAGACGAATTTTCGTCGCTCACGGACCAGCAGATTTCTAGTGGAGGAGCCACACGGGTCACCAGCGCAACTCTTGTGGCTGGCTCAGCGGTTTTGCCGGCGCCTCCTTGCGGCAGCTCTTCATGCAGAGTAAACGGGACTGGTTCCCTTACTAACTGGTGTTTGGAGCTCGGGGAAGGCAGAGCCGCTGGTTGCGGACTCAAGAAGGAAGCCAGACCAGAGATTCCCGGGCAGAAGAGCACCATCAGTCATATCGCTGCTATTTTGGCCGGCACAGTGGGTTGCTTGGATCCCAGCACTGGGAATCAATAAATTGGACGTCGACTCAGAAGCCTTATTAGAAAGGCGGTAATTGTAAAGACGACAGATGGATAAATTTATAATAAAGGGGAAAAACCAGCCTAAGAAGGCCGAGCATACCCAAAATCAGAACCCCTCTCCCTCTACAGGGGATTGCAGTTCCTCATCAGCAACTGAACAAGCCCTGATGGAAAAGGACTGTGTTCCATTATCTGAAGTAGGCTTCAGAAGGTGGATAAGAAACTTCTGGGAGTTAAAAGAACTTGTTCTAACCCAATGTAAAGAAACTAAGAACTTTGAAAAAAGGTTTGACAAAATGCTGAAAAGAATAGACAATATAGAGAGGAATATAAATGAACTAATGGAGTTGAAAAATACAACACGAGAACTTAGTGAAATATGCACAAGTTTAAATAGCTGAATTGATCAAGCAGAAGAAAGGATATCAGAGGTCGAAGACCTACTTAATGAAGGAAAACGACAAGACAATAGAGAAAAAAGGATGAAAAGGAATGAGCAAAGTCTCCAAGAAATATGGGACTATATGAAAAGACCTAATCTACGTTTGATTGGTGTACCTGAATGTGATGGAGAGAATGAATCCAAGCTGGAAAATACTCTTCAGCATATTATCCAGGAAAATTTTCCCAATCTAGCAAAGCAGGACACTATTCAACCCCAGGTAATACAGAGCACACCACAAAGATATTCCTCAAGAAGAGCAACCCCAAGGCACATAATCGTTAGATTCACCAGGATTGAAACGAAGGAGAAAATACTAAGGGCAACTAGAGAGAAAAGTCAGGTTACCCACAAAGGGAAGCCTATCAGACAGCAGATCTCTCAGTGGAAACCCTACAAGCCAGAAGAGTGGGGGGCCAATATTCAACATACATAAAGAACAGAACTTTTAGCCCAGAATTTCATATCCTGCCAAACTAAGCTTCACAATTGAAGGAAAAATAAAATCTTTTATGAACAAGCAAGTACTCAGAGATTTTATTACCACCAGGCCTGCTTTACAAGAACTCCTGAAAGAAGCATCATAAATAGAAAGGAACAACCAGTATGAGCCTTTCTAAAAATATACCAAAAAGTAAAGAGCATCAACATAAAGAAGAATTTACATCAACGAATGGATAAAATAGCCAGTTAACATCAAATGGCAGTAACCCTAAATTTAAATTGACTAAATCCCCCAATCAAAAGATACAGCCAAAATCTAATGGTATATCCAAAGATACACAAAGATTCAAAACAAAGGGTTGGAGAAAAATTTACCGACCAAATGGAGAGCAAAAATAAATAAATAAACAAAAAGCAGGAGTTGCAATTCTCACATTGGATAAAATAGATTTCAAAGCAACAAAGATACAGTGGTAAAAGGATCAATGCAACAATAAGAGATCTTAATACCCGGATACATTATACCCATAACGAGATTTAGACTCAACAAGACAGAAAGTTAATAAGGATATCCAGGACTTGAACTCAGATCCAGAACAAGTAAACTCAATAAATATTTATAGAGCTCTCCACTTTAAATACACAAAATATTGATCAGCCATTATTAATACCCATTTTTAGAATGAAGCAATATTCCTGTTCTCTCTCCTTCTTTTTCTTCCTCTTTCTTCCTCTCCTTCTCTCCTTTTTTTCTAAAAAAAAAAAGAAATGCTCACTTCACCCCCCATAGCTATAGAGAACCTTGCAACAAGTATTAAAAAAAAAAAAAAACTTATGACCGAAAAGTTGCAAAAATAGTACAAAGAATTCTTCCTCACCTAGATTCCCCAAATGTTATTTCACCACCTGCTCTATCCTGTCTACATGCATAATAATAATAATAATAAGCCAGGCTAGGTGGCTCACACCTATAATCCCAGCACCTCGGAAGGCTGGGGCAGGCGGATCACTTAACGTCAGGATTTCGAGACCAACCTGGGCAAAAGGGTGAAACCCCTCCCCCCAAAAAAAAGAAAAAGAAAAAAAAATAGAAAATTCTGATTAAAAGGCATAATTTTTCTGCTTCACCTTATTTGGCCTCATAAAAAAAAAAAAAAGAACTATTCAGATTTACTAGAAGGTAAAGACATTCCTACTGTCCTCTCTAATTTCTGTATAGATGTTCAATAAATTTTAATAAGTAGCATAATAAAGAAAAAACAGAACATCAACTAGCTATTTGCTTATTTTTCTTTTTTTTGAGATGGAGTCTCTCTCAGTCACCCAGGCTGAAGCGCAAAGGTGAAATCTCAACTCACATAACCTCTGCCTCCTGGGTTCAAGCCATTCTCCCTTCTCAGCCTCCCAAGTAGTTGGGATTACAGGCACCCACCATCATGTCTGCTAAATTTTTTTACTTTTGTAGAGATGGGGTTTCGCCATGTTGGCCATGCTGGTCTTGAACTCCTGACCTCAGGTGATCTGCCTGCCTGGGCCTCCTAAAGTGCTGGGATTACAGGTGTCAGCCACCATAACCAGTGGCCATGTGCTTCTTTAGGTTTTAGGAGTAAGCAGAACGATTGAACATAGAATTGATCAAAGGAAGAAAAAACTCAGGCATAACCAATGGCCTTCCTAATTAAATAATTAGATAACTCATTAAATAAAAGTGATCTCATATCTAAGTGAAAAATAGATAAAGGCACTTGACAACACTGTAAGGCAAAAGGCATTGGAAAATTAATTGCCTGGCATTGGCTCAATACTGCATAAAAAAAATAAATAAATAGGGTGAGGCCCTTTTCCCAAATGAGGGTTGTGGAAATAAGTAGTGTTTTCTCTGTGCCCACATTTACCACTATTTTCTAGAGGGAAAATATCTGAACAGAGGACTCTTTTCCTAGTGAACCAAAGAGCAATAATTTGAATAATAATCCTGCCACCATTTTGTTGCCTTTCCTTTGGAGTAATTTTACTGACTCAGTGGATGCAATTTCAATTACTCTTTAAACTCTTCCTTTGACACATCCGTTGTTTCCTTAGATGACTCACTAGTTAGAATGCCTTTTTGACCCCATTAATCTTTTAGGAAGATATTTGCTATGTAAATTAAGTGCCTTGATTAATTGTGAACAAGATGATTTCTTGCTGGAAATCCCAGAAGACAAATTTTCAGCCATTTGAAGACACAGATTGATTACCCGCTATCTAATACTTCCTCTATTGTTATGGTAAACCTTGAGTCTGCCCCACATAATCTCTGGGTAAAGACAACTCAGATGTGGGACACATATACTAGACCTTAAAAGTCTCAGTTGAACCAGCTGTGCTTTTATGAAAGTTAGCTCCATACTCACTGAAATAACTGGTGCTTCATCATATTTTTATACCTGCATAGAGGACTTGCCATTCACTATGCTATCTCTTGCAATGCTTCCTTCTGCCTGTCAAATAAGCAAATGGGTGAGAACATCACTCTATACAAGATTTAATAGCTATTGATAAGATTAGACTTCTTTACTTCCAATCCTAATTAGGTTGCCAACCCTAATATTCTATTATCAATCCCTGAGAAAGATGCTTGCTTGATAATATAATCTATCCTTAACATTAGGGCCAACTTCAATCACAAGAGATCTGTGCAGTTGCATAGGTCTACACACTTAGAAAGGTCCTTGTTGGGATTCATTCAGGGTGGCTGGCAAAATATTAAGGGAAATATTAAGGAAAAGTTATGAAAAGTTTTTATTAACTTATAGAACAAGCTGAAGGCAGCCAGTTTGCATGTTAAAGTATTAAGTCATGAAGTAAAAATTCAGATAATAAAAGCTTCCCCAGTTAAGTCTGTTTACTCCACATTCCTTTGTCTCTAACTGTTTACTCATGTAAACTTTGTTCAAAATGTCCCTCTCAAAAGGAGGTCAAAAGAGAATTACTCATTAATTGTGTTTATTCTAGACCCCAGAACCAAAATCTTTTATTATCATTATTTGTAGTTTTACCATTCGTAAAACTACTCTTTTAACCATGTTAATTATCCAATAGCATGTTAACTTAAAACCTGTGTTACAAAATCTCTACTGAATAAATGTGAGGAAGGACAGGGAGTCAGGGTCAGTTAGCTGCAATCATCCTGTAAAAGCAGTTA